GACTTGCTACACAAGACTCAAATGACTAAAGTCAATCCTCCACCCACACCTATGGTTTCTTCTCTTCGCTTGACCCAGGATGACATCGTTGTTGTCTTTTATCCTTCTTTTTACGGCTCAATTGTTGAAGCATTTCAATACCTCACTATCATTAGGCTTGAGATTGCATACTCAGTCAATAAGATTTGTCAATACATGCACAATCCTCAAGATCATAATTGGAAGGCAACCTAGAGAATTCTATGCTATCTAGTAGGCATAATCAATCATGACATTATTCTTCATCTTGCACCAACTCTCCGTCATTGGCTTCAGTGATTCAAATTAAGGAATGGACGTTGATGACCAAAAGTCCACAACTAGCTATTGCATCTATCTTGGTTCAAACATTGTTTCTTGGGGTTCTAACAAATAAAATGTTTTTGGGAACACCATGAAAGCATAATACAGAAGTATTGGTGTTGCTCTTGCTAATATGATCTAGATCAACTTGATGCTCATTGAGCTTCATGTGAAAACTCCTACTCCAACGCTTTACTTGGATAACTAGGGGGCCATATTGCTTACAACAAATCCCATCATGCACTTTCGTTCCAAACACTTTGAGTTAGACTTACACTTTGTACTAGATCATATTCACTATAAACATTTGCGTCTCATTCATCTTCCTTCACGTTTTCAAGTGGTAGATATCTTAACAAAATCTTTGTTTATATCTACTTTCACTCAATTCAGAGATGAACTTATAATAATAGTTAATCCTACCATAAGTTTAAGGGGAATATTACATGACTTTAAATGTGTATGAGTTAGTGGAGCTCTTATTTTCTGAAACTAATATATAAGTCTATATGGTTAAAACTTTAACATCTACACTAGTGCAGAATGAACATTTTACGTCACTTATTTCTCGTTGGATCCAAAAATACTCGTCTTAAAAAAAATGCAGTGACATTTTTGTAAATAATGGACACAACTTTTACGTCAGTCCCTTTGAGGTCCGACGTAAAAGTCGTGTTTAATTCTCACTCAGGGCCACTTTTTTGTCTAGCGCGATAAGGGTTTTTGAGGACGACAACGGCAATGACCCTTTTAACATCTTCTAGAGTATGTTTCCACCACTGTGAGTGACGAAAACACCAACATTGTGTCCCATTTGTGGTGGTTGACGTTTCTCTCCGATTGAATTCGAGTTTTAAAGCGTTTTGTGTATATTCGATGTTAGTGTTTTATGTCTTCTCTTCTATGTTCAAATTGAATCTGTGATTATTTTTTAGGATCTCAATCACGTTATTGTATAAATGTCTCTATTGGATGGTTATTAAAATTGAATTATTGTAGTTTGTGATTATCCGTTTATTCGTTTGAGTGCATCTTCGGTTTATACACTGCATTTACGTCTCAATCACGTTTTTTGTTATTTGTATATTATTATTTTTTAAAATATGAATTTTGAATCTCTAGGAGTGACAAAAATTTATAACATAGGTAGATATGGATCGAAGTTGGATGAATACACGTTGTATCAGTGAAGAGTACAAAAAGTGAGTTGAGGAAATTTTGAAATTTGTTTGTGAAAATGAAAAACATATCAAAGGGACATTGTCCATGTATTCATTGTTTTGAATCAAATTCGTCATGAACTTGGGGATATGCGTGATCACTTATTTTTTATGGTATTGTTAAGAGTTATATAATATGGACATGTCATGGAGAAATATTAGACATCCCAACTATATCAACAACAAAACATTTTGAAGAAATCTAGATAATATAATACGTTATATTGGTGAAGAAAATTTTACGAAAACACATTTCTATGATTCTTTGAAATCTGATTTTGAGTAACAATTGTATAGATAATGCAGTTTTATAAGATTATTAGCAATTTTAACATTGATTCTAGAACCGATGTAGAAAGTGTGACTTTCCACATGGGTTGTAAGGAACGTAAGTAGAAAGTCTAATATATTTATTTATTTATATATTTTTATTTAGAAAGTCTAATTACCCTATCTATTGATGTAGAAGTCTCCTCTCCCTTTTATATTACATAAATTATATTTATATACAAATAAAAATGTATATCCATGTAAATATATAAATATTTATATATAAATACAAATACAAATATATTTATATATTTATTATATTGTGAGCGCGTCTCTTTATATGGATTATAACTTAATGACAAAATATAATCTTTATAATTTATTTATATAATGATATAAAATAATTTTTTCTTTATTTTATATCATTATATAAATTAATTATAAAGATTATATTCTATATCATTATAAATAAATTATAAAGATTATATTCTATCATTAAATTACAAATTCATATAAAGAGACTCGCTCACAAATTTGACATCAAATTTTGAAAACCCACTTGACACACACTTTCACTCTCGACGCGCTCTCACATCAAACATATAAATATATAAATATATTTGTATTTGTATTTATATATTTTATATTTATATATTTACATGGATATACATTTTTATTTGTATATAATATAATTTATTTATAAGTTATTATTAGAAAATCCTAGTAGTTTAGTGGTTGGAGTATTAGTTTTTAATTCTAAGGTACTTGGTTCAAATCCTACCAAGTAACAATTCTCTTAATTTTATAAAAAGACTTTCTACATCGGTTCTTGGAAAGACCGATGTTAAAAGTGATTTTTATACCAGGTGGTTGAAGAAGATGTTTCCCAAAGATAACACATTACCTATTTGTAACTATGAGGCAAAGAAGATATTATGTCAAATGAGTTAAGAAATGCATGTCCTAATGATTGCATATTGTACAAAAATGATTTTCCTATATTAAAGATGTGTTCGACATATGATTTATCGCGGTTCAAAAACAAAGTTAATGGAAGTAGTGGTGAAGAAGAAAAAGATGACCTCCCTGCTAAAGTGTTATTGTATTTATTAATAATATCTATGTTTAAAATATTATTTATCATAAAAGAAGGTGCAAGAAACTTAACATGGCATCAAAAGACTGTGTATACTAGGGGCATCAAAAGTTCCTAATTCCTAATCATCCACATCGTAAAATGAAAAAAACATTTAATGGATGTTAAGAAAATGAAGTTGTATCGATACCACACAATGGTAAACAAATATATGAACAGGTGACAAACATTATTGTGTTTGGAAAGATGCAAAAGAAGTCCAAAGAGAAAAATATTTGGAGGAAAATATCTATATTCTTCAATCTTCCTTATTGGTGTAAGCTGAAAGTTAGACATTGTATATATGTGATGCATGTTGAAGAAAATGTTTATAATAGTATGATTGGGATATTACTTAACATAAAAGGAAAGACAAAAGATGAAATGAATACACAACAAGATTTGACAAACATGAGTATACGTACTGAGTTACATCCAAAGTTAGTTAGAAAATATATTTACTTATCTTCAGTTTGTCATACTCTATCAAAGAAAAAAAGAAAAGAAAAAGTTTGTTAAGAGTATTGTGTTTATGCAAGAGTTGAAGTTAATTCTTTTCTTCATATTATACAAATACATTTTTCTTTTTCTGTTTTTCTCTTTCATAAACATGTCTATTATTATTTATTTTAGGTTTATTATTTGTTTTAACATATAATTCATCAAATATTTTGTATTTTAATAAGTTAACAACGTCTAACTTTCCACTAACAATTTTTTATTATCAACTAGTTTTTTCAATTGTTTTAGGTGAGTAACTACATATGGCCATATTTTTCTTGTGGCTTAATGATGATGAACACGGGCATGGAGTTCATGTAAAAAAATGTTCATCTGACTCAAATCAATTTCTCGTTTTTATAGACTCATTTCAAGAATGTGACATATAATAATATCAATGAGGTTAAGCCTAAGGAAAGGGTTTTCGAATCATAAATATCAATATTGAATATTTAACAGAATCTTGATATGATTGTCTTTTACACAATATATTTGTTAAAATAAACAAATAAAAGATTTTCCAAATCAGTATTTTTAATTAGAACATTAATTAACAAAATATCAAATTAAAATTACTAAAAGTATTATTAGCAATATATTTGAAAAGAAATCATAATAAGTACATTATAGCTATATATCTTTTTTGCACCTTGATTTTTTAACAAAAATTTTAAAGCCACTAATAAATAAAAATTAACCATTTGAAGAAAGAAAGAGTTTGATTGTATTCAGTGTCTTTCTCAAATAAATTAATGGGTTATACAAGTGTTGAGTTTAAAAATTTAATACACTAAAATTATTACAATCAAAATATCGGAAATTACTATAATAAATTATTATTTTTATGAAACTAATGTAACTTTGTTAAATAAATATTTAAACCAGCCAAAGTTAAAATAAAAGCTTTTTCAGAATTTTTACCAAGAAAGATAGCCTTACCCTCGTTCTGTAACCTCTGGTGGATGACAAAAAACAATTTCGGAAGGAAAAGTTCTCTTAATTTATCAAATTCTAAAAATATAACTGCTTTTTATGGATTTAATTTTATTTTATTTTTTTGGATTATTCTGGATATAACCCTTTCAGCATCTTAATTATGAAAATTTTCTTTTCTTGGCAATTTAAATACAAAAGTGTGACATTCCAGAATAGTTGGAATGATTTTTTTTGTGTGTGTAGATATTGTTGAAATGGTCCGAGAGACACCTGTTTTCACTCCACACAATAAGTTTACATCCACAAATTAAGGCAAAGATTTCCCATCTTTTGCTTAATCTTTTGAGGTCTCTAATCACTTGCCAAACATTTAACACAGGAATCAAATACGTTATAATCTGATATAAATTACTTTGATAAGACATATCAAAGACTTTATTCAATCCCCATTTGTCTGAGGTGCAAGGCAATGAGTGCCGTTCTCTCTTGTTGAATTTCTCTTTAATCCTCTTATCCTGGATTAAAGGAAAAAGAATAAGCACTAGCCAGAAAATTCTTGAACCTTGTTTTGCATCATTTTTGGAGGGAAAAACAAAATGTCATTCACTGGAACTCTTGATAAGTGCAAGGCTTGTGATAAGACTGTTTATGTGGTTGACTTGTTAACTCTTGAAGGTATACCGTACCATAAGAACTGCTTCAGATGCAGTCACTGCAAGGGATGCCTCACGGTATATATATATATATATATATATATATATATATATATATATATATGCTTCTTCCACAACCTCTCTTCTTACTCTTCACTTCTTTTGTTGCCATAAACATGTTTTCTAAATATGCTTGTCATTATTGTCTCATTCTTATAGTGTTAGTTATTGTGCTTGAATATGCTTGGAAGAGTTTTTTTTTAACCATATTATTGGTAGGAGCATTCACTGGCTTTTTTTTTTCATGGTTTGTCTGTTAGCCTGCCTAACCAAATACCTAAAAATGTAGTTATGCCATCAAAATCATATAGAATAGAAGCATGCAATTGCTTAGCTAATTACATGCATAACTCATACATGAAATAAAGTATATGCTTTGGCATCTACCACATTATTGAATTCCGTGGATATTAGCTTTGATCTTGGATCCTGGATTCAAGCTTGTACTTTTAAATGATTTGATTCATGAAAAAGCAATTGTTGTAGTTTATACTTGTTCATAAATTTGGTGCCGATGCTGCAATGTTATTTTGGTCAGATGAGTACATACTCTTCAATGGATGGTGTCCTCTATTGCAAGCCACACTTTGAACAGCTTTTCAAGGAATCTGGCAATTTCAGCAAGAACTTTCAGACAGGTAAGATGTTACCATCTTCTGTTCAGCATATTGTTTAGCCACAATCTCATTAAGTACAAATTCATATGCACCAATAACTTTCCATTGATTTGGCTAATATGCTATGTGTTTTTTCATGACTATAATCGCGGTACAGCAAAGTCTTCTGAGAAACAAAATGAGATGGTATGTTCACTATCCAGCCTAAACACATATATTCGTCGCCAGTTTGAGTATATAATTGGACATCATCATCATCATTATTAAGAAAGCTTAGCTTAAGTCATAAAGGAACAATATATTTTTGTTCTTTCAAATAATCTTGTTTAATTTTTCTAACATGTCCATAACAATAATCTTCATTTTCAGAATAAGACCCCCAACAGACTCTCGTCCATGTTCAGTGGAACTCTAGACAAATGTTCAGCTTGCTCCAAAACAGTCTATCCTCTGGAAAAGGTTTGTGGTATCGATATAAAAACTATTGATTGTAGGATTTACATTTAAAAATGACAATGACTGGACAATCCACAACCCAAGAAATGCTGAGACTGAAAGATGTGGACGCTGGTTATGGTTGGCCTATCTGACTAAACAATCTAAAATAAGATTTCTTTTTTCCCATTACTATCTTGGACACAATAAAATTTGTTTTCCCATTACTATGTTGGTGACAAAGGAAAAATGGCTGAATAGTCAACAGAAAGCGTTCAGTCTGAAAGATATGGACGATGGTTGTGGTCGGTCTGCATGGCTGAATAATCCTCAATGAGATTTGTGTTTTCAATACTATCTTAGAGATATTTTGATTAGAATTTTGATTGAACTGAACTAACTACAAAAGTGTTGCTTTGTTGAATAGATGTCACTGGAAGGGGAATCCTATCACAAGAATTGCTTTAGGTGTGCTCATGCAGGTTGCCACCTCACACATTCCTCCTATGCTGCTCTAGATGGTGTCCTCTACTGCAGGCACCATTTCCAACAGCTTTTCATGGAGAAAGGGAACTACCATCATGTGCTCCAAGCTGCAGCAAACAAGAAGAATGTCACACCACCTCCTGAAACAACTGAAGAAGAAGAGCCACCAAAGCCAGAGGAACCTGAAGAGGAACCACCAGAAGAGACGTCCTAAATGAAGCAAAGAAAAATGAGTTGCTTCCTCCCTTTCTTTCAGGGATACTATAGAAAGGTCTTTTGTTAGAGTGTTTGCACTTGGCTCACTCTCTTGTTTGGTTAAATTTCACTTTCTGACATTTTTTCACAAATTAGTTTTATTGTAAGCTAATTTGAGAGGTTTATTTATGTATTTAAACAAAGCGTTATTCACTACAGTATATTCTTTGTTGGAGGTTTTTCTCCTGAAGTGATATGATATCATATCACTACTATGTAATAATAATTAAAGGGACACAATCTAATATGGTTCACAATTTTCTCTATCCATTTGCACTTCATCTGCGAATGATACTTCATTTGCTAGGCATGATAAATGCAAGGACTCAAGAAAAATCTCTCTCTCTCTAAATATATATACATATGCTATGTGGTGTTTGAAAGGTCAAAAAAAGGTGGCAAGTGTTTGGATGACAAGTGATTGGAGACAAGAAAAATTGGAAAGCACAAGAACCATTCCTTTTGCTATAAAATGCTCTTTCACTTCACTCATTTCTATCATCCAATTCCAAAGCAACAATTACAAGAGTTAAGCCAGCAAGAAGCAGAAAGAAAATAATCTAGCTTCTGGGTGTAATTGGGTTGAGGGTTGAGTGTTTTGAGAGTGCTTTGTAAACACCTGTGTATTTTCTTTTCTCCCAGTAAAATATCTGCAGTAGTCCGGAGACGTAGGCAATTTTGGCCGAACTCCGTTATCAATTGGTGTGTCCAATTTTTCCGTCTTTATTTCGTTTTTATTTCAATTTCATAGATCTGACTAGATGGAAAAGTTCTGTGTGTTTTTCCTAACAACTGGTATCAGAGCTGGTTGTTAACTCTGCAATTTTTGTTGTGACACTATTCATATGAATAGTTAATTTACTATTCTGTGAATAGTAAAAACATGAATAGTAAAAATTTTGTCAGTGCTACAAAATTATCTACAGACGTGTTCCAAAATACGGTAGTTCACAGAAATTGACAGAAACGATCTAGAAAAGTCAGATCCGAGTTGGAGTGATGGCTACAGATGAAGGAAAGGTGAAAATCGAGAAGTTCGATGGTGCGGACTTTGGGTTCTGGAAGATGCAGATCGAGGATTACCTGTATCAGAAGGATATGTTCGAACCACTCACAGGAAAGAAACCAGAGGGTATGAAAGAGGAGGAATGGACTCTTCTCGATAGAAAGGCCCTTGGAGCCATTCGACTGACGTTATCCCGTAATGTTGCTTTTAACATTGCAAAAGAAAAGACGACAGCAGGTCTTATGGATACTCTTTCCAGTATGTACGAGAAACCATAAGCCTCAAACAAAGTTCATTTGATGAGGCGGTTGTTCAATCTACGGATGTCTGAAGGCGCTTTAACGGTGCAACATATCAACACTACAAGAAAAAAATGCTATTAGCGACCGAAAAAATCAGTCGCTAATGGCCAAAAATCGGTCACTATTCTGTTAGCGACCGAAATGGTTGGTCGCAAAAGGGCAAGTCGCTAATTTGTTAGCGATCAATTTACATTTCGGTCGCTAAATAGCGACCGATAAGGTGGTCGCTAAATAATTTGGTTACTTATTCATTGAAGACCAAAAATAGCGACCGAAATTAATATAATAAATTGGTCGCTAAATCGGTGGTAAAGTTTTAAAAAATAGCGACCGATATATTCGGTCGCTAATATATTAATATAATTATGTAAATAATAATTAAAATCGGTCGCTAAATCAGTCGCAAAAATAGTGACAGAAATTAATATAGTAAATCGGTCGCTAAATTGGAGACAAAGTTAAAAATAATAGCGACGGATATAATCGGTCGCTAATACATTAATTGAATTATTTAAATAATAATTTAAATCGGTCGCTAAATCGGTCGCTAAAATTGAATTGTATATTATAATAAATTTGTAGCGACCAAAAATTCGGTCGCTAATCTAACCAAATCTGAAAATTTTCGTTGAAAATTTTGTATATCCAATTTTACAAAATTTGTACATACTTAATTCATCCAAACAGAACACAAATGAAAACTTAAGAACTAAAGTCAAATTATTCAAATCATAATAAGAACAATTCAAAGTCATAACAGAAATAAAATGTTTCTAAACAACTACTCAAGATTCAAAATCTTAATATCATAAAATTGAAAATTAGTCCTCTGGTATATTGTCGGTGTCATGTTGACTTGTAGTAGGATGACTATTCATTTGAATATGTTGTAAAATAAGCTTCATCTCGCTCATCTTGTTGGCGTTGGTTGTTCCTCAACTCCTGCATCTCTTCTTGAAGTGTCTTCTCCTTATTATGCTTTGCCACCAATTCAGCATTTAACTTTTCAATAGTCTCATGCACTTGTTCAATTTGATGAAGTACTTGGAGTTTAAGTAATAGAAGATTGAGAACTCGATGTAGTAGTGAACTTTTTGCTCAATGTACCAAGTCCATACACATTTCCTTTTTATTTTCACCTCCAACAACTGAAATGTATATTTCATTATCATCAATAGAGACAATAGGAGACTCTTGTGAAGATGAGCCTTCACGCAAGTTATGTTGATGGACTTCTTCTCTGCACTGCATATATTGTTCCTAAAAATGAAGTGAAATATAATTATTATGAAGAAAACATATATTGAATAATAAACTATAACTTAGATGTTAAACATACAGCAAGATAACGAGTTTTGTCATTGACCCATTGTCCAGTCTTTAATTTCTTTGTCCTCTCAACAACCTCCCAAACGGTTGGTTCCCATTGAAACTCCGTAGTCTACACATTAAAATGAGACAAAATTCATTACCTAAAGTGTAATATATTGTATTAAATTACTTATATAAAAATATAATAAACTTATCATCTTCTCAAAGTGAGCTGCAGTAGATATGGAACCCCCACGATAGGCTGAGGCACCCTTATCAACGACTCGATTAGCCTTGGCAATGACACTCTTGTTTTGGAAACCCGGAGAACTCCAATGTAAGTCCAAAGATGCTCGAACAGCTGGCGGTATCTAGATTCCCGTATCCTTACCATTCCTAACTTTGTTCATTGAGTTTTTTAAAATTCGAGAACCTTTCTTATCAAAAACAGATCTTATGGCTTGCTCTTGTTCCACATCCCATATATACTCTTTCGCATAAATAAAATACACAACAAACATTTAATTTATAAGAATGAAATGACATTGTTTAATGTAACTATAATTCAAATTACCTTGAACTCTCCAAACCATCTATCTCGAAGCTCAAGTGAAACCTTTCTCCAAGTGGGACTTGGTTCATCAAATTTTTGTTTGATGATTCTAGAGATTATAGTAGGAGGACCATTTCGCTGGTATAAACATGTGTTGAAACATATTGTGGGATTGATATTATTAAGAAATTTCATATTAAAGAATTATAATTAAATTAAAACATACTTACTCTCCTTTGTCTGCTTGTAACCATGGCCTTTGATCAACCATATTTCCAGACTCAACCTCAGTTGCGACTAACCCAGGTACCTGTGTAGGTTGACCAAATGTCACCTCAGTAGAGAAGGTAGTAGGAATTGTTTCTCCTACTATAGCTACAGGAGATTCCTCGCTGAGTTGAGGGAGGTGTGCGTTCTACAAACATAGGATTAGTAGACTCCATGGATCTTGGTCGAACAGAACTAGGAGAGTTAGGGTCGGGTGAACCTCTATCATCAACAAGTACACCTCGACCACCATGATGAGGTGGTCTACGACCACCACTTCTACTCCTTTGTGGCATCTACAAGCGGATCTTATTACATATGTAACATGCATAAAATTAAACAATTGAAACAATGAATTACCCGATTTTGTTTTCTACACCCAAACGTGTCGGTTAGCTTACCACTCATTCACTCGCAAATAATTAAATCATAATCATATCAATATATATATGTATATATATGCAATATTAAATAAAGGTGTACAATCAAATTTAACAATTGTAAAAATAATTTTAATGCATGAATTACCGAAGTATCTGTATCATCAAAATCACTCTCAGTTTCATCCTCACTTGAAATATATTCATCCTCATCTTCATCTATATTTCTTTCATTTAGTAATTGTATATCTATTTCTTCTCCCCCACCATTAACATCAGCAAGGGAATCATCAATGAAGTTAGGATCAACACGAAGCACTACTTCAAGTCCTACAAGCTCATCATCTGGGTATGGAGTCCCATGCTCAACTTGACTGACTATATTATCAATTATTCTACTACGAGATTTTGTCTTTATTACACCCAACCAACCTCGGTGTCCCTCTGGATAACTTGTGTAATAAACTTGTTCTGCTTGTTGTGCAAATATGAAAGGATCATATGCTTTATTATATCTTCGTGATTGCTTTACTTCCACGATTCCATACTTATTATCTACTTTGGTTCCTATATTAAGAGTATTGTCAAACCATTCACACTGAAAGAGAACTAAATTCATCAATGGCAAACCAGTATACTCTAATTGAATAATATTAGACAATAATCCATAAAAATTTGACTCTAATTGACCATTGGCTCCTCATACATAAACACCATAGTTACAGGAATTCATGCCTTCACTCCAAACAATAGTGTGGAATTTGTATCCATTGATAACATACATAGGCCATGATTCAACTTTTCTCTTGGGACCCCATGCCAAATTAACGAATAATGGATCTTCAATATTATTTTCTGGATTTAGAACCTAAAGATAGCAAAGTCCTTTACACATTAGATTATGTAAGTCAGAATAAATATTTGTAAGACATATTACATATTTTTTAAACCATTTAGGAAAATGGGATGAAATGTCTTGGTCAATTTGGGCACCAGAAATACTAGGATTTAGCTATCTTAAATATTCAATATAAATACTGCAAACACGTAACAAATTACTCAAACCACACAAAGTAACATGAGTAATTTTGATGTGAGAGGAGTGAAAACATCTTACTCAAAATATGGTTGAACCTCTTC